GGCAGTGTTAAAATGACAAGCTCTTTGCTTTCACTCCCTGAAATAACCCTGAATGTAGTTCTCGTTTAGGCTTAGGGCTTTCCAGTTTGGCAAGACCACATTAAGAAATGTGTCTTTTGGTAGTTAAATATATGTCACAAAGAGTAGAAGCCTAGTTTGCTGACTTTGGTGGGCCTGTTCTGTTAGGGTGAACAGGTCTAAGGTATTTTTAGCACTGGAGACTCTTCCCCAGTGACCCCTGCCCACACACCCACATCCCCAGGATGAGGCTGCATTCTCCACCCATACATGGGGCCGGTGGAATAACCAAGGGGCAAATTTCAAGTCTTCCCACACAGCCAAGTCCTTGTAAGAGTAGCCAGATACTCCAAAAGGCTGACGGTGTTTCTTTCAGAGCTGTTCAGAGGAGGCAGGCAGTTAAGTTTAGAACCAAAGTTAGAGGATGGAAATAGTGCTGAGGAAGACAGGTCCTCTTGATTCCCAGCTAAGGAAAAGCTTTCTTAGCTTCTGTACCAGGAGGGCTGAGTTGAGCTGTATATATCGTGCCTGGCTGGGCCGAGTCTCCGGGGACAAGGACCTTGTGGAATTCACTTTTGGTCTCCCCGGTACCCAGCACATCTGGTGCTTCCCAAGTGCTTGTAAAAGCACATGAAATGAAACAAGGTACAGCTGGTCGGCTTTCCAGAGTTCCCGACTGATGGTGCCTTACCGAGTGGGTCTACCCATTCCGTGACAAAGTCCTTACCTCTTAGGGAAAAAAATTGCAACACGTGGATTCCCCTTGTGTGGAAGAGAAGTCTGTTTTCTTCTTGTGGTTAAATATTTCATTCTTCCATCTCTCTCTGCTAATGCCGTCAGCCTATCTTTGGTTCCATCTGTCTTCATCCCCACGTCTCATCACTTGGTCACTTTTCTTCCCACTCCTGTCGTCGCTCCCATCATTCATTGCCAGCTTCCCTTCTTCTTTCAGCTCTTAGTCTTGGGGGGTTTCCTCTGTCGTCTATGAATATGTCTACATTTCTCTTACCTCATGACCTCGGCTGCCTTCTGTCTTCCCTTCGCTGTCAGAAGTTTCTAGAAGGAATGATTTACCTTAAAGTCTGGCAAGTCCTCACTTCTCATTCACTTCCCAACCTGTGGTTACTGGTCAGCTTGTCTCTTCCTAAACTGCTCGGGCATAGAGCACACTCACAGTTTCCTAAAACTGGGTCCATCGCATTCTTCCGCGTGTTCTCTCTGGGTCATTAAACAACGTTGAAAGTTTCTTTTTGAAGTTCAAGACACTGTTCCTGTTCTCCCACCTCTGAGCATGCTTCGTTCCTTCCTCTGTGCTGGTTGGTTCTCCTCTGCTTGCTCTTTGGATCACACGTTCCCGAGGCTCTCCCAGGCTGGCTCTCTTCTGACCCGGACTGTCTAACCAGCCTTCTGGCCCTCTCTGACTGTACATACTTTCCAGTAGGTGAGGATCCACAAACCTTTATCTTCAGCCGACACGGTGCTGTGCATACATCAGCAGATCCCACAGGTCAGGTACAAAACTCAACTCAATCTTAACCTGCCCCCGCTCCCCATTTCACACACAGACACATGCTCTTCCCGAGGGCTTTATCCCAGTCAACCATTCCACTCTCTCTCCTGTTGTGTAACTCAGAGAGCCAGTGTCTTCTCTCCCCTCCCCCCACCTCTTCAGTTCATTGCCACATCCTGCTAAATTTGTCACAGATCTAGCTGTCCCTTTCTCTTTTGCCCATATCCTCATATCTTTCTTCCAACCTGCCCCTCTCGGATTTGTCCTCCACACTGCTTACTGCTGTAAGTGGCCACTCTAAAATGCAAATAAGATCGCGAAACCTGGTTGCCTGAACCCTTCATTGTGTCCCACTACCTATAGGGTAAAGTCCAGACTCCTTACCATGGAATACAAGGTTTTTTTTTTAATGGCTGCTTGTTTACTTGCTGTGCTCTCAGCCACCCCTACCCTTACCTTTGACCCAACCAAGCATTTTGTAGTTTCTTTAATGCCCTGGTGCATATGCTCTTGGTTGTTCCTTGAAGTCTTTTTGCTCTTGACTTTCTGGTCCATAATAGTGTTACTGACCAGGGTTCTCGGCCTCCTTTATCAATAGAAATTGATAAGAGGCCAGATGAGAAATTCAGGCAAGGCTTTCCTGGGGCCCCTGCTGCAGCAGGGGGAGTGAGAACAAGCGGCAGCTTCCCTTGCTCGCTCGCTTGCTGAGCAGGGGTGTGAGCTGTTTCCTTATATGGGATGAGGGTAGGAGCAGGTCCAGGGGTCGGACTTGAGGGCTGGCTGGGGTGTTCTGCCCACCCCTCTGGCGGGTGGTATGTGCAGGGGGCATGCACAGTGCCCTGCTTCTGCTCCCTGCCTTTGCTCCTGGCTCTTTAGAAGTGGCAGTTGGGTTTTTGGTCTTTTTGTATCTTGTTGTCCATAATTTGCCCCAGTGCATGCACATAGTTATTTTTAGTACCTTATAGTTTATTTGTATTTTGTTGCTCCAGGAGACGTTTGTCCAGGTGAAGCATTGCAGCAAAGGGTCCCGGGGTCCCAGCCTGTCTCAATAGGATATGTCTTCCCTGGTCACTCCTCCACCCCTGAGGAGCTGATCATTGTTCCCATCTTTGTAACCCCCCTTACACTGCACAAACCTCCGTTAAAGCACTGATCACCCTGAAATTTCAATTTTTGGTTTTTTACATTTCTAGTTCCCCTACTAGACCATGAACTTAGGTAATCGACCATACTCACCTAGCACTGGAGACACAGCAAGGTATTGGCTCCTCTAAGGGCTGCATGCATGAATGAATGGAGGATTTGACAGGTTAGTGAACCACCCACAGCTTTGTCTCAAGGCTGTCTGCTGTTCCCCTTCCCCTGACCTCATTCAGTTAATTGATGCATCCTGCTGATTCTGTCAAAGATCTATCTGTCCATGTTTGGGACAAGCCCAGAAAGCCAAATGGTAATTGTGAAATCTCTAGGTTTACTTTTTACCTGTGCTGTCTCAGAGAAATTGCAGTGAAAGCATTGTTATAATGCTAGTAGCAACACCTAAGGTTTATTTAGTGCTCTACAGCCTGGAGAATCTCGGATGAGAAAAATGAAGGACAGAAAGGCTATGACTTGTTAGAGGTAGGTAACAGCCCAGGTCTTCAGATTCCAGATCCTCTGATCTTTGTATTATTACACACTGTTTCAGATGCTTCCATCAACAGGTGATTTAAAGTTACAAACTTCCTCTTTCGGAGGGCTACTACTCTGCTGTTGCCTGCAGTCTCTCGCCAACAAATAACTCAGTTATTTTACTGCTCTGGGCTTCATTATTCCTTGTGAATTCGTAAGGCAGATTAAGTCCCTGTTTTCTGGGAATTGAGAATCTTCAGACAAGTCATAGTGAGTCAGAGAGAAATGTTTTTGATGCGAAGGAAATGGAACGAATGTGTGGTTAGTTAATCTTTAAAATATTGTATGTGATTCATTCATTCAGTAGTACTTGTTGAGCCACCCATCTGCTGGGCACTGTATGACTGTCATGGTCCCTGCTCTCATGGGGGTCATAGGCCACCGGGTGAGACAGGTATTAATCGGACATGCCTGCAAAAGTGAATGCATGTATTATTGGAGGCGGTGTTGGGAAGCTGGAAAGGCCCTGGAGTAATCACGAGGCCGAAGGTTATAGCTGGGTGAACCAGGAAGTTCCTTCCTCCTGCTGGGCCTCTTTCTTTTCCTCTAAAAAATAACCAAGGTGGAACCCGTTGGTGTCTTAGTTCCTTCCAGCTTACTACGTCTTTGAACTCTGATCTAACAAAGGCACTTTCAGTGAGTCAGGGGGCAGAGCAGAAAGTACCATTCTTTTGTGTGAACTGATTGTTAAAACATGACATGTTTCATTTGTTATCTCTGTAAGCAGAGTTCAGGCTCACAGTGTCCATCCTGACTACCTTGGTGTACTGAGAAAAGCACATTTTACTTTATTAAAGCAGCGCTTGGCATTTTAGTGGACCCCCTTGCAATGTTTAGTTTATTCTGACATTTGAGAGATTGGATCCTCTTTGTTCTGTGATCTCAAAAAATCATCAACCCCCCAGCCCCTAATTCCTGTATTTGATATGTAAAATGGAAGTAATAACCCAAAACTTCTTAATAAGCCCGCAGAGGCACTGATTCAGCAAAGAAGCAAACATCTGTGGAGCATCTGCTGTGTGCACGGGACTGCTGAGTACAGAACAGACATGAATAAGAAGTGGTCCCTGCCCTCAAGGAATGTATGGTTTAGTGGTAGAAAAAAAGCATAACTATTACAGGTGCCGTGGTAGACGTTGATGTAGGGTCAGACGTACAAATGTAAGAGCTGTACGTAAGTTCCGCTGGCTGGTGGGAGGGGATACCAGGGGGCAACGTAGTATAGGGAAGAGAACGTTAGGATTAGAGTCAGAAGAGCTGGGTTTTCGGAATCTCCGTTCTCTATATATTAGTTGTGTGACCTTGATTCCTTTGAGCCTGGGTTGCCTCATCTAAATAAAGGAAGTAATGATCCTTCCGCCCCATGGTCAATGTGAGTGTGGAACTGTACACGTGTGTATGATAGAGCTCTATCTGTCTGAGCTCTAGGGGCAAGGTCATGTTCCTGAATAAAATGGCTGTTAGGCTACTTGTAATTGCTAAGACAAAAGATTTTATTTGAAGTAAAGCTCTCAGATTAAACCCAAACAGGCATCAGCAACCTTTCAAAGGTAGCGTGCCAGCTCTGCTGCCTGTGCCGGCCTGTCCTGCAGATCAGGCGTCTGTGCGCACCTTTTCTGTAACGGCAGCGGGCGTGGTGCAGGAGGCAGTAGGAAGTCCGGTGGCCCCCGAAAGCCCATCCTCACCTTGACTGTGATGGGAGGTGTGGACCGATGTCGCTGCTCACCTGTGCCCTCAGGAGTGGGGACACCGTCAAGCTGTGTCTTAACTCTGACCTTTCCCCCCTTCTCCCTCGTGCCAGATTTTATCATGTGGGCAACATGCTGCAACTGGTTCTGCCTGGATGGACAGCCTGAGGAGGCCCCACCACCCCAGGGAGCCAGGACGCAGGCCTATTCCAACCCTGGGTACAGCTCCTTCCCTTCCCCCACGGGCTCGGAACCAAACTGCAAGGCCTGCGGGGCCCACTTCGCAAGCATGGCCAGGAAGGTGAGTGTCGACCTCTCGGCCTGCTCGGCCGCTGTAGCCTCAGGCCCTCAGGCAGGTCTGCTGACCCTTCCATGGTGCCTGCCCCTGGCCTTTGCCTGTGCAAAGCTGGCAACCCAGACCTGTCCTTTCACAAAAGTATTAAAACTAACCAAGCAAAAGCAACACATCTTGGCGTAGATTTGGAGCCAGCTAGATCTGAATTCTGATAGCAGCTTGGCCACTTCCTAGCTGTGTGACTTAACCTGTCTTGAGATTCATCTTCTCCGTCTATGAAGTAGGGATATAATAATTGTACCCAAGTCAACATCTCGCAGTGTTGTGGGAATAAAATGCGCTAAGCTGCGGAGGGTGCCCGGTGTGATGCTTGGGGTGCAGCAGGCACTTGCTGTTATTTCCTTCATTAGCTGCTGTCGTAAAAAGCCTGGCTGCAGGTGAACTTGTTCTTTCTATTGAAAACAGCGTCAAGGACATCTCAGGTATGTCAGGACCCTAACAAGATGAAGACTGGAGCTTATTTACTGTTGCCATTTCATTTGAAATGCACGGTAGCCGTGTTTTCCAGATTAGTGAGCAGAAGGTAAAATCACTGGCTGAGCCATGGTGTACGGGTGAGGGCCATCCCTCTGTCTGGTAAGCACGCCTGGGGCCAAAGGTGAGCCCTGACCCAGAGAACTGCTGCATCTGTCTTCTTCTGCAGAGTGAGAGGTTTGTAGCCTAGAATGTGACGTTTAAATGATGATAATGAGAAATTTGAGAGGAAAAAATACTTTCTAAACCACCTGCTGTATGCCAGGGACTTTTTAAAGCAATTTATAGAGTTTTTGTTTCATTTAATCCTCACAGTAACTCTATGATTTAGGTTTTAGGGTCCCTACACTCCCACTTTACATATGAGAAACTAAGGCTTAAAGTTTAACAGGTAAAAAGGAAACTGTCAAGTTCCTGACAGCATTGGAGACATTAAAATACTCATTCTTTCCCCTCTACTTAAGTAGCGCCCCAAGATCACCTGGTTATTAAATGGCAGAGCCAGGATTCAAACATAGGTCTTTGACTCTCAAGCTTTCTCCCAGAAGACAGTCAGCATGTCAGAATTTCTGCAGCTCAAAGTGTTGACAAGCCACCCCTTTGTAATTGTAAGACGATGGAGAATTGGCATTTTGCCTTGTAGGTTGTATTTTGCCTACACCTCACTGCAGTGTGGGGAAGGTGGGCACGTAGCCAAGCTTTGTTGTGGTTTGCTTGGCTACCCCAGTCACTGAGAACTCAACCAGAGAGGCTCCTGCAGGCCAGGGGGCTGTGGCTTGGTGGGCAGGGGTGCCTCTCCTTTTATACATAGGCTGAAAGGTTCAGTCCATGATGGAGACTGAAGTGGCGAGTAGGAGGAACTCGGGGCCACGTGGCCTCAGTGCTGTCGGTGGTGGAGACGGTGGGGGTGGAGTTAGGGTCTGAGATGAGATGGAAGGAGGGCTGTCGGGTCCTGGTCGTGTGCCTGGCACTGAGCCTGGCATTTCAGATGCGTTGTCTCACTGAAACCTTACAGCAGCCTATGATGTGTGTACTACTATCATTTGTTCCCATTTTACAGATGAATAAATTGTTCCCTTTATCTAAGGTAGTAGTTTCAGGGACTCCTCAAGTACATCAAGAGTCTGTTGGACGTCAAAGCTCGTGCTGTTTTCATTGTTACATTGTGAGAAATGCTAGGAACAACCAGCTGAAGTGGCAGAGTAATTGGCAAGAAAGGAATAGGGAAAAGCCTCGTTTAAATGAGGCAGCATGGGGAATTCCCTGGCGGTCCAGGGGTCACTTTCACTGCCGAGGGCATGGGTTCAATCCCTGGTCGGGGAACTAAGATCCCGCAAGCCGTGTGGAGCGGCCCCCCAAAAAAATTAATTAAAAAATAAACAAATAAAGGAAGCAGCATGAATTTGCAATAGGTTTGTTTGAAACCACCTCCCCCCCCCTTTTTTTTTAAAGTCAGTTATCCTCTGGAGTGGAAATGGAGAGAAAGCGCAGAGAGGATGATGGTGGTGATCCAGGCCCAGGATAAGCATGTCGAGCACATTGGAAACTTGAGAGAACCAGGGGATCTAGCAAGTTCTCGACATTGCTCAGCCTGAAGAGAGAACGTGAATGAACAAAGAAACCGCCCCCAGAGAAAGGAGAATGATGGTTGGGTCAGGGTGGGAAGATGCTTTATTTTCTTTAGAGTGGTTATCAGCACCCAACATACATGTGTTTGTGGATTGCCTGTCTTCTCAGATGGTACATAGGATAAGGGATTTTGTCAATTTTGTTCACAACTTTTCCCCAGTATCTAGAACAGTGACTGACACGTGGTAGGTAGGCAATAAAATTTTAAAAATAAATGAATGGACTGCTGAGTTGAGAGCAGTTTGAAAAAGAGGAAGTAGACCAGAGAGTTTCTATTTTCATCACTTTATGGCTGACATTTCCATGCTGAAGATTTTTACTGAGGGCCGGTTCTGTCCCAGCAGCATGCTAGTAGCTGGAGGTTACAGTTTTGTGGAGAGAATACTAAGACGTAGGTCTTTCCCTTAGGGAGCTTACTGTCTGGTCGAGGAGGCCAACATTTACAAAGAACTAATAATAGTCAGTTGCACAAGTTAAGTACTAGGGCCATCAGGCGTTGTTGGTAAATTGATAATTCTAGCTGGATGAAGGAAAGTTTGTTGATTTGCAAAGCAGTGGCTGAGGTAAAAGCACCAGATGTGGAGCAAGTTCAAGGTGGACTTGGGAACTGTGAGTGGCCTGTTTGGCCAGAGTGCAGGGTACCAGGGAAGTTAGGGCAGCAGGGTTGGGATCAGGTGGTAAAGGGCCATGACTGCCATGGTAAAGAGTCTATCGCCACCAGACAACAAGGAAGCATCAGAAGGAGTTTGAACAAAGCAGCAACCTGATTGATCCCATTTCAGGGAGCTTCGTGAGGAGGGTAATTCGATGGAGCCATAGGAGTAGCACTTAGGAAGCTCCTGCACACCTGGCGGGAAGTTCCCAGAGCCTGGTGTAGGGTGGAGGCCGAGATTGATCGAGGTAGCTTCCATTCAGTGAGCAGCTCTTTGTGCCAGACCTTGTGAAGAAGTGGTTGTTTAACCCATTTTACAGATGGAAAATTTGAGACTCAGATACAACAGGTACTTTAGCTACTAAGATACAAGGGCACGCAGCTGATGAAGACAGATGAAACGGAGGAGGAGGTCAAACTAAAGAAGGCAGAGAATCAGTCTTGGTGCCTAGGAGCCTGACAGTGATTAAAATAAGGAATTTTTTTTTTTATTCAGTGGTTCAGTGGAAAATATATTATTCAGTATCTACTGTGTGTCAGACATTGCGTGGGCTAGGCAGGCAGAGATGAAGAATGTCAGCCCTCCTTAGTAGGGAGCTTGTAGTCTGACAGGAAGATGGGGGCCAATACACAGCCACACAAGGAGACAAAAAGAAAGCTTCTATAGCAAGAAGAGCTTTTGTGGGGGTAAAGAAAGTTCCAGTCTGGAAGGTAAAAGATGGTTATTGGTACAATGTTTTCTTGCCACAAAGGGATGGATTAATTTTGTGAATATTAAGGATGTTTTCTCCTATGAGAACTTTGCACTTGTAATTTCATGCTTAAGTGGATCAGCATCTTATCTTAAGGGTTCGGCATTTAACAGCTGCAAGCTTTTAAAATGTCTTTTCTAGAAGTGTTTGAATTGACGTGATTACATGGATCCTACTGTCTCTTTTTCCTTTCTTCACCGAGGTCAGTATTTTCCGACTGCTCATTGGGTACAAAGTCCAGAGAGCACGAAGGACTTTGTAGAGAGGACGTAGTAAGAAAGATGGAGCCCTGCCTTCCCAGAGTTTCCAGTCACAGAGAGAAATGGCAGGCTGGGATTTGCCACAAGCCTCATATCCCATCTGTATTGGTAACACCTACATATGGTCTAGCAGCAGCCCGGCCAATTTTGGAGGGAGTTTGGCGCCCAGCCTCTTGAGCTGACCAGGTTGAGCAGGAGGCTGGGGAGGTGGCCTGGCAGGGAGGTTGTACTTGGGAACGTGGAAGAGATACTCAAGTCTCAGAGTAGAAAGGGGGTGGCTCCTAGGTACTGGCCCGCGTCAGAGATGAGGCACGGGGGAAAGGGAAAAGGAGGTGACGGTATTACCTTTAAGTGCGTTGCGCGCCCACCGCACGCTGAGGTTTGCTGTGCCTTAGCTCATGTAGTACTTGAGTAGTCCTTTGAGGTAGGCTGAGCTTCCGACTTTACAGGTGAGAATCTGACGCTCTGGGAGGTTATCTGTTTTGCACAAGTTCCCTTAGCTGGGACGTGACCAGCTAGGACTTAATCCTAGTGTGTCATGCCTCGGGCTGCCCCTTTCCTCCTGGTGGGCTGCAGGAGGGGATGCTTATGGGCAGGATGGCTAGGAGGAGGGACTGGTGGGCTGAGAAAGTGGGCCCGCCCTGTGCCAGGGAACGAGGCTGGGGAGAGGGTAGAACAAGGAAGGGTGGATTGGCAAAGGCGGGTGCCCCTGCCAGCCTCCTGATGCTGGTGTTTGCCTGTGTTCCTGGCATTTGTGCAGGCTCGTTGGCTCCCCTAGGTCATCATTCATGTGACCTCGTGAGTCAGTTTGCACCATTTGCTATAATTTACACGTATGTGTTTCCCTTGCTTGTTCTGCTCACATTTGTTGACAGCTGCTTTTTCCTTCTCCTTTGTTCTCTTCTGCCTCTGCAAACTGAGGTTTTAGCCTCAAGAGAGCGCTGTCTTGCTCTGTCCCATAGGGTGTGTTTCAGATGCCAGTGCCGGGACTTGAGAATCCCTGGTGAGCTGGGGGGTACGGAGAAGCTGGGTTGGTTGCTGCCTTTGCATTCTGATCTTGCATCCAATACCTGCACACCTTTGAAGAAGAGAGGTGTTTAGATCTGGCTGATTGAGCAACTCGGGGCTTTTTAACTGTGTCAGGCTAGGTCTTATCAAACTGCATTGACTTAAATAATGTTCCACGTCAGGACCTACAGCTTTATTACACGGAAGCCTTGTCATTTCACTCTGTCATCCTAAGCACATCTCATTGCCCAACAGAAAAGCTTTAGATATGACTGAACCCCCAATACCCAAAACATTCTGTTTCTACCTGAGTGGTTACTGGTCCCAGAACCCTTATGAAGCGAGTGCAGCCATGCGTCCTTTCCAATCAGTCGCTGAACATTTTATTGTCTGGTTATAACTGTGTAGAGAATAAGGGAGCTTGATGTGTGTCCTTCCCCAGCTTCTAAGTATCACTAGTCAAAACGATGGTAAGCATTATGCTTGTTTTCCTTTACTGCACGAATGACACTTAGAGAAAACTAACTATAATGACGTCAGCTATGCAGACTTTTACTTCAGTGCCACACAAGAGTATCTGTGATTTCGACTCTGGGAATCTCAGTCTCCTGGGCATTCTTGTTAGCTTGAATAACTTTCTGTACTTAGAAAAGAGGGAGCGGAAACCTTTAGGTTAATACTTAAGTCACCACAGGATGAAAAGTTTTTAATTTCTCTAAAGGATGAGTGAGGGCGCCCTCTGGGACCAGCCCCGTGGGCCCAGGGATTACCCGCCTGGTGGCATGTGGCCTGCTGGTGGCTGGAACAGGCCTCAGTCAGATGTCACCGTGCTCGGTCAGCCTGCGGGGCGAGAGGCCGAGGATTTGCTTTCTGTGAGCTGAGCAAGTTGTGTTGAGTTGTGTTGTCTGCGATCCTGGGAGGAGCTGCTGCCAGGCGGTACCAGCTTGCCTGCCAGGCGCTCTCGTCGCCCGTCTGAGACACCCTGTACTTTCACAGATGAGAGCTCCCTAATCACGTCCAGAGGGCCTCCCGGAGCTGACTAAATATTTGTCCTGGGTAGGCTCTCAGGCACCACTGAGTTCCCAGCACACTGAGTGGGCCTTCCTGGGGTGGGGGTGGGCCTGGGCCCCAGCCTCTGCAGACGGGGCACGGGGTTGGTGGTTGGGAGATGGAGAGCCAGGCCCTTGACTCAGCCCAGCTGTAGGCTCTCCTGGGGCTGAGTTAGGCAACGTGAGCATGACTGTGGGCACCAAACTCAGACCTCGAGTGAGAATCCCAGCTCCACTCTTTACTGCCTGCCCTTTAGGATGGGATTTAATCTCTCTAGGCCTCAGATGCTTGGTCTGTAAAACAGGGAGGTACGCGGATACCTACTTTGCGGTGTTGCTTTGAGAATTAAATGACAAGCCAAATCTAGCTCTAGCACATGGTGGCCCCTCAATAATTTAATGAATAACATTAATAGTAACAACAGTCACCACCATAACCTTTATGCATTTGCTTTCTTATCTCAGCAATAAAGTAGAAAGAATCATAGTTCAGGATTTGAATCTTGACTCTTATCATTGGCTTGTATTTCCTAGCAAGAATAATTAAAACACTGAACACTTATTGAAGACTCATGTGTCAGATATACTAAATGCATTATCTCTTAACTTTACAACAATCCTATGAGGCAGTTGCTGTTATCGCCTTGCTTTACAGATGAGGAAACTGAGGCCCAGAGAGGCTAAGTTAGACCCCCAAGGTGACGCCACAAGAAATGGTGGAGGGAGACAATGAAAATGCGGGGTTTTTTTTTATCCTGAAGCTGGTAGTCTTAATTAATAGCCTCCATTTCTCTACCAGTAAAATGAATAAAGTAAGCCTCCGACAGAACACTCCACGTAGTGTCCTGTATGTGGATACATGATGCCTACAGGGGCTGCGCCACCTCCGAGTGGCTCTTACCCTGATATCTGCAAGGTAGCCTGCACCCGCAGGGAGAGGAAGAGCTCAGTAAAAGTAAGAGTGATGGGGGAGTCTCGCCCAGCTCCCATCACACTGTCTTGTTCTCACTGTCTGACGTGGTTTCCTCTGCCTCTTGCTCTAAGCAGCAGACCTGCTTGGACTGTAAGAAGAATTTCTGTGTGGCCTGTTCGAGCCAAGTGGGGAGTGGGCCCCGCCTCTGTCTTCTCTGCCAGCGTTTCCGAGCCACAGCCTTTCAGCGGGAGGAGCTCATGAAGATGAAGGTGAAGGACCTGAGGGACTATCTCAGCCTCCATGACATCTCTACCGACATGTGCCGGGAGAAAGAGGAGCTGGTGTTCTTGGTGCTTGGCCAGCAGCCTGTAATCTCCCAGGAGGGCAGGACTCACGCCCCCAGCCTGTCCCCGGACTCCCCCGAGCAACAGGCCTTCCTGACCCAGCCTCACACCAGCACGGTACCTCCTACCTTTCCCGGCCTACCTCCTTCACCCCCAGCCCAGGCTCGGGACCGGCAGCAGGTACGGGCCCGTTTGCAGCCACACCATCTCTGCCAGTTGGAGGGCTCGTTTTCCTCTCCCGCCTGCACCATGGGAGTGGGGCAAGGTTAAGTGTCTGGATTATGTGACGCCTTTCTGCTTACTGATGAGGGATGATGTTTTCTGGACATCCGACTCACGTTTTGGCTTTTTTCAGAGATATTGATGCACGGTACTGGGTGTTTGTGTTTTTTGTTTCTTTGTTTTAATTTTTTATTTTATTTATTCATTTTTTTTTGGCTGCGTTGGGTCTTCGTTGCTGCGTGCGGGCTTTCTCTAGTTGAGGCGAGCGGGGGCTACTTACTCTTCACCGCAGTGCACGGGCCTCTCACTGCAGTGGCCTCTCCTGTCACGGAGCACAGGCTCCAGGCGCATGGGCCTCAGTAGTTGTGGCATGTGGGCTCAGCAGCTGTGGCTTGCGACCTCTAGAGTGCAGGCTCAGCGGCCATGGCTCACGGGCCCAGCTGCTCCGTGGCATGTGGGATCCTCCCAGACCAGGGCTCAAACCCTGCCCTGCACTGGCAGGTGGACTCTCAACCACTGCGCCACCAGGGAAGGCCTTTTGTTTGTTTTTAATATGTACATATCCCAGTTAGAGAGTTTTTAAAAATTCATTTTTCCAGAAATATTTTGAGAAAACTCACTGGTAGTCTTTGTGTTTAGTTCTGTTCAAATTGCCCTCCTACTTACTCACCTTTGTTGTGGTCTTCCTTGGCTGGATGGGGAGCTCCGTTCCTCAGTGACCGTCACAAGGCACAAAGGAAGAAAAGGAACATGTAGAGGGAAGGGAGAGTGGGGAAACACTGTGACTAGGACAAGGACGCTGCTTCTCTTGCCAGCCTCTGTCTGGGCAGGGCAGTGGTTGGCGGGCTGTTGAACAGTAAGCAGCCTTACCAGCATCCTAGTGGGGCCTGGGAATGGTAAGCTCAGAGCAGCACATCGACTGAAACATGAACCAGGCATGAAAAGTACAGAAATGAGTAACACATTGCTTCTGTGCTGAGAAAGCCCCTCTAAGGGGGAAGGTAGATGCAGAAACCAACTATTGGATTAGAGTGATGCGGGCTGACCTCACCGTTGTGTGAGGCATGATGGCATCCCGTAGACATACGTAAGTGCCTTAGTGAGCCTTTTACTTACATGGCTTGGGCAATAGTGGGAGGATTAGGACCTAAGAAATCCGATTTCCACATCCAGTTTGTCACTGACTCTTGGGTCAGTTTGGGTGAGGTTTGAGCCTATAACAATGAAATGGGGTTAGTAATCCAGACCACTTTTGCTCTTGCCAGGATGTTGGGAGGACTGACTAGCGTGATCTCACGTCTAAAGGGCTTTGAGCCGCCTAGAGCAGGCACATGCCAGTGCTGTCAGTTCCCATACAGGAGGTGGATGGCTGCTACCTCTTGTTTATGATCACCTCCTTTGCCAGGATGAGGCCCCCTGATTCAGCTCTGACGAGCACTGAGGCATAAAGGCCACTGTGATAGCATGCTTTACCTTCAGGAAACTCAGCAGCTCCCTTGTTGGCTTGAGCCTGCTTTCTCTCCAGTGCGCTCTGGAGTTTAACTCTTCCCTCAGCTCTGGCTCTGTCTGCTGGACAGGTTTGGGCTCCTGCTTTGACTTCCTCCCCTTGCTTGGCTAAGTGCTTTCGCTCTGTTTATGGGGAGCCAGGAGAGTGCCTTGAGGGATTTTTTTTTTCCCTCAAGAACCTTCAGGTGGCTTTTCCAATGAAAGGAGTCGGTTTTAAGCTTCCTTTCATTAATCAGAAGTTTCCAGACTGCACCCACAGGAGACACTGTGTACCGGATCTCATTGGGTACTTCTCTGACGTTTTCAGAGGGCCTTCAGGTCAGCTCATATCCCCTGTTCTGGTGAGGTCTGCATTTTGTCAGCCAGAAAAACAGGGGACGCGAAGTGACTTGTGCGTGGCTGCCCGACGATTCTGCAGCGAGCTGCACCCAGGATGCAAATCTGCTTATACCATTCACCCTACCAGGGCCCTTTCCTGTACCTTTAATGTCCTGGCAGTAGTTGCTGGTGAAGAAAGTGTGTGGAATAAGCACAACTGTGGACACACATTCATTGTAGATTTTGGTTTAGCCAGTGGGCAAACTGAAAAGACAGGAGCATACTTTGCAGCATGAGATCTAGTTTCTCTTTCCTGGAAAAGAAAGGACATACAAGAAGCTGTCTACTTAGGATGAGGTTAGGCTCTGAAAGACTTTTTGTAACTCCAAGGTGACACCAGGAGGCCAGTGTGTACCACACCGACGTAAATCTAAGAGAAAACTAGACGTTGTTTTGGATGCATCTCCATACATGTGTACTATATGTGGGGGTGTATCATCCCTTGGCATTTTTGGTGGTTATTTCTACTCTTCATTGCCACTGTAGTTGCTTGCCTGTTCTTTTTTTTTTTTTTTTTTTTTTTTTTTTTGTGGTATGCGGGCCTCTCACTGTTGTGGCCTCTCCCGTTGTGGAGCACAGGCTCTGGATGTGCAGGCCCAGCGGCCATGGCTCACGGGCCCAGCCGCTCTGCGGCATGTGGGATCTTCCCGGACCGGGGCATGAACCCATGTCCCCTGCATCGGCAGGTGGACTCTCAACCACTGTGCCACCAGGGAAGCCCACTTGCCTGTTCTTAATTAGCTCCGTATTATGCATCCTAATCTGAGATGAGCGGCTAGAGGCAGTGAGTGACTGGTTTCCTTTACTGAGACCAGTGGAAAAGGCCTGTGAGCTCAGACACCTCTTTGCTCTGGGCTCACACCAGGCCCTTTGCCTGTTGGGAGCAGTGGGTGAAGAGGATCTAGTTAAGGGATTTGTGGCTTCAATGGTGATGGGATTAGGAGGCTCACAGTTCTGACTACTCTGTGGCAAAACCTGAAGGAGTGTCTAGGAGGAACCTTTTGAGAAGTTAGAATTCTAAGCAGAATGAAACTTCTTAAGCACAGGCGTTTGTCTTAAATAGTCTCAGGCTAATAATAATTTTTGACCAGGTTTCAAGACAGCTCTCAGTAATAGTGTGCCCTGCTGGTTGGAGCATATTTCTAGAATGTGAGAGCAGCACCTAGCCAGAAGAGAGGGGTAGGGTGGTGAGGGTCTGGAAACTTTGTCTCATCCAGGCCAGATGAGGAAGTGGGGGAGATTTTGTGTGGAGGAAGGGAAGCTGTGATATGAACAGCTGGGAAGAAAATAGTTGGCCTTGGTCTGGGGGCAGAACCAGGGACGGTGGGCAGAAGTTGTTGGGAGGGTAGTTTGGGGTCAGTATCAGGAGAAAACTTGACAGCAGTCCCTCACAGGAGTGGACGTGTTATCTTCCTTTCACTCGGAGTGTTCAAACTGAGACTAAATTGACGGTGAGTGGCGGTTAATGCCGTCCTGGTGGTGGGCAGAATTAATGCGTCTTGTTCTAGAGTTGAAATCTATTTCTGTTGCTTCCCTGCCTGACAAAGTCAGTGTTAAAGAGCAGGCTTTTGTAATGCTGTTATGCGAGACTCCAGATTTCCGGGGGAGATGGGAATGTGTTTTGGATATGGTGTGAGCTGGCAAGAGGCCCATGCTATCCCTGGGACATCTCTGGATGTGATGGCACCTTTTTCTTCCCACAGGCCAATGGCCATGTGTCTCAGGACCAAGAGGAACCGGTCTACCTGGAGAGCACAGCCAGAGCACCTGCTGAGGATGAGACGCAGGTGGGGCCCCTGCTTGGGTCTGTGCCTTTGCCTTTGCTCTTTCACTGGCGTTCTTAGGCTGTTATTAGGAACCTCTTGGCAGACTCAAAGTGGAGAGAGGAGAATCAGTGTGTGATGATAGTCCTTCTGAAATTCTGTTTTCAGGGGTGGAGTTTAGTGTTAGCATTACAGATTAACCTTTGTGGCTGTCAGTGTGTTCATGTGGAGTTGTGAGTCACAGTGGAGACTGGGGAGCCACATGGCCCATTAGTTTCCAGTCTCTTGACTTTCTAAGAGCTGCCAGAGGGCAGGCTCCCTGTGCTGCTGTGCAAACCTTGTTCTTTTCTTCTGCTTCTAGCACACAGTAGCCATTGTTAGGGGAAGGAAGTCAGATAATCAGGAGGAAAGATGGGAGGGAGTTCAGGCCTCAGCCGTGGCGGGCCCAGTGCACAGGGGGGCACAGCCATCGGGGCCGTGGAGCTATTGTCATGGGTGCGTAGAGAGGATGCTTGACAGGGAGGTGGGCTCCTTCGTGGGAAAGCAGAACTGTCTCCGGGGGAAAAGGACCAACACCATTCTCGGTAGTTTCTGCTGCTGCGTTTAGTCGTCACAGCAGCCCTGTGAGGCAGGTCTGCTGCCTCTTCTTCATGGAGGGGCAGTTGGGCTCCGAGAGGTGAGCCACTTGCCTGATACTGTTCAGTACTAATCAGCGGAGGAATCAGGATTCAAAGCCAGGGCCACCTGCCTCAGACTGCCGCTCCTTCTACCGGGTCATGCTGCTGGGTGGGTCGGGCCGGCTGCTCCTGCGCACAGGGCTCAGGTTGGGAAGAGACCGCGGCCTCTCTTGCGATGCAGGGCGCCATGCCAGCTACTACTCCTGTTCCTACTCCTCTTGAGGCCAGTCACCAAAAGCATGGGTTGATGAGTGCTCTGGGGTCCTGGGAGGGAGAGCCTGGGTTGTGGGAGCTGAGCCCACCGATCTCATCTTTGCCTTTGCAGTCTGTTGACTCAGAGGACAGCTTCGTCCCGGGCCGGAGGGCCTCTCTGTCTGACCTGACTGACCTGGAGGACATTGAAGGTCTAACCGTGCGGCAGCTCAAAGAGATCCTGGCTCGCAACTTCGTCAACTACAAGGGCTGCTGTGAGAAATGGGAGCTGATGGAGAGGGTGACGCGGCTGTACAAGGATCAGAAGGGGCTACAGCACCTGGGTGAGGGGCCACCTGGGTGACAGCTTCACAGAGTTCCAGAGTGCTTGCTGTCTCGCTTGAGAGTCGGCATCGACCTGACTAAATTTCCCTGCTTTTAGCCCAGGAAGGAGTCACCTTACACATCTGCAGCCTCTAATAATAGCTGTCCTTTGGAGTTGAGGGCTGGGATTTGGTTAGGCATCATGTACATGTATTTAATCCTCAGGGCAGCCTGTGAAATGGGCGCTATTAGTGTCTTCCTTTTATCATAGAGCCCAGATTTGAACTGAGGATTTCCTGGTCCAAGTCCATGGCCTTTCCCCCCACACGTCGCCCCTGCCATACTGACTACTGCCTTTACCAGTACTCCTTCTTTGTACACACAGTGCAAGAACACTGTGTCCTGCCTGCACTTGGGCTGTTCACTTCCCAAAGCATGGTATCATTTTCAGCGATGCCCGGTAAAATATCAAGGTCTGTGCTCAGGTTTGGGAAAAAGTCCATGGCCTTTCCCCCCACACGTCGCCCCTGCCATACTGACTACTGCCTTTACCAGTACTCCTTCTTTGTACACACAGTGCAAGAACACTGTGTCCTGCCTGCACTTGGGCTGTTCACTTCCCAAAGCATGGTATCATTTTCAGCGATGCCCGGTAAAATATCAAGGTCTGTGCTCAGATGAGTTTGGGAAAAAAAAAAAAAAAGAAACTTTATGTCCCTGCTGCTGATTCATGGTGGATGAATAATGGAACAGTAAAGGCAGAGAAGTCCTGCAGAAGAGAGAGGAGTTGAGCCGTGTGGAACTCCACATTTCCTGAAGTGACTTCACCCAGAACCTACCCCCGCCCCCTGCCCCCCAACAACCCCTTGCCAGCTGATTTGGTCCTGCAGGTCGTTTTGACTCCTTGCCTGCTAAGAGTGGTTGAAGTCGGATTTGGGGCTCTCCGCTCCCAGAAGCTCAGATTTGTCAGAGTTAGGGGACATCTGACTGGTCACCTGATCACAGACTCTCCCCTTTGGGATCGTCCCCAGAACCTCCCTAGAGTGGCGAGGACCTGGGACTAGGAGATGGCTCCGCCGGGGGGCTGCATCCCGACTCCCTGGCTGACTGGAGCAGACTGTTCCTCCTTTCTTGACTTTAGTGCTGGCTTCAGAAGCATCAGAAAAGGACATTGTGCTTATGCAGTATCCTTCCTGCTTGGCAGTTTTGTTCATGGCAAAGCAGTGGAATCTCTCTTCCTAAGACTAGGTCAGACACCCCGGCAGGAGCTGTGTGTGAGTCCTCCGCATGTAGGGGGAGTGAGGAGGGCGGGTGTTCTGTATGGGCTCTTGGCCGGCCTGGTTCCCAGCAGGTGAGCTGTCAGAGTTCGGAAGTGAAGGCAGGGTGGCTGGAGACTTTCCTCGTGCCGTCACATATTCAGACGCCTTCTTTCTCTTTCCTTTCCAGTGTGTGGTGCTGAAGACCAAAACGGTATGTAGTTCTTCCTGTTTGGGAACAGGCTTAGGCTCTTAGCTCTTCTGTCCTTCCCCTCCTTCAGCCGTGATTCCTGTTATCAGTCTAAGAATTCATGTCAGCGTTCAGAGAGGGTGTGGGGGAATTCACTGGGAACCAAGGCTTCTCAGCATCTCTGGAAATTCTTATCCCTGTCCCCGTGAAGGGACAAGAGTGGCAGGACACCTAGGGGCAGCCTGATCTGCATGCCTCTGGGTTGTCAGAGCTCAGAAGCCAGCATTTGTAAAATATTCAGCAAAGCAAGTGGTGGCATGTGGCACATCCGGTGCATTTCCCACACTCCTGGGGCTAAGGCACTCCCTCCCCTATAGTTTTCACTCCATTTTGGTCTGAGTAGGAAGGGTTTCTGTGTACACCTTCAGGGAAATCACTTGGGATGTTTATCAGCTTCTGGTACCAGCTAAAAAGAAAGGGTGGTGGGGACTTCCCTGGTGGTCCAGTGGTTAGGACTCTGGGCTTCCACTGCAGGGGGTGCAGGTTCGATCCCGGGTTGGGAACGAAGATCTCACATGCCTCGCAGTGTGGACCAAAAAAAAAGAGAAAAGGGTGGTGACCTGACAGCCTTATTTGTACAGGGCTGGGTAGTGGTTAGAACTGCTCTGGGGATAGATCGGCGCTCAGCTGCCACAAACTCACCCGTGTGTTAAAGACCACCACTGAGCCTTTGGGCACCTCCAGAACACACTGCAGGAATCTTGACTGCAGATCCAAATCATTCTAAAACATTCTAGACCTTTTTGAAAGCCTAAAGGCTACATGGCTGTTTTACTAAATAACAAATTTGGAGTCTTCTGAAAAAGTTTTAAAGTGCTTTGCAGGTCCCTACACTACTCTGAGAACATCCTTTTTTGGGGAAGAGCTCACAATCATATAGCTCAGAATGGGGCACAGTCTTCTGGCTGATAAATTCTCAAGAGTTGAACTCCCCCAAATCATTTGGAGTTCTAGACCCACTCCCTCATCTGATACCAGGATCTTGCCAGTCCACTTGGTGTCTTTCTTTTTCTGATTCCCTGGAAGAATGCTGGCAACTCAGTTGATGAATTTGTTAATCCTGATAGAAGTAATCAGTAATGAAATTCTATAAATTACTCCAGCTCATCTTAGGTATTTATATAGTTCAGTTGTTTCCAAACCTTCCCTGTTAGGGCCAACAGCTCCTCAAAGGGGTAAATAGGTTTCACCACCTCTTACAGCCAGCCTTCCTCAAGTGTTTCTTGACTTTCTGAATAGTCCAGGGAACAGGAAAAGAAAGTGCAGAGGCAATGGAGTGTGAGAGAATTCCCTGTAGAACCGTAGAGGTGGCTGGTATGGGGCCAGTTGCCTGTTTATAGCTACCTGGTTCAGGCTACCATTTAAAACATGCTGGGGATGGTTGGCTTTGGGGAAGTGAAGGTTTTTCTGTTCCTGCAACTAACCTAGGATGCTGGTCATGCCCACTGTATCTTACCACTTGCACAAGCCAGTTAGCCTTGTCGAGAACTGTGCACTGAGCAGTTAATACTATCTTGGCAGTCCCTGCCCTCAGGCCCCTTGCCCAGAAGCCCGCCTGCCTGGATTTGAACCCTTGGGCAAGCCACTTAACCCTTTGGTCTCAGTTGCCTCATCTACAAAATGAGTAACAAGAGTACCTGCTTCATAGTTTTTGTGAGGATCCAATGAGTTAAAACATGCAAACCGTTTAGGACCCTGCTAGCACCCGTAAGCTTGCAATAAATGTGGGCTGTTATCATTCCCTTGGGAGATGTTCATTTGTCAGACATTTAGAGAGCACCTACCATGTGACTGGTCGCAGGGATTCAAAGATGAAAATCAGACCTCAGAGCACATAGCAGATGCTTAGTACATTATTATAGAAACTGATTGCGTCTGTTGAATTTAGGGGCCCATAGTGTAGTAGGGAGACAAGTAGGCAAACTCAGAAATTCTCATGCAGTGTGATGAGCAGTCATGAGGGTATGAATAAAGCTGTGTGTGTGGAGCAGAGAAGAGGGATCCATAATCTCTGCCGGGTTCTTGCACCACGACGTCTCCTCAGAGGAAGCCTGGTGGTCGTCTGTGGCATGGCCCAGGGGCTCCCGTGATCCTTGGCTTTATTAAATTGGGGATATGTTTACATATAAGCCTCATGATCCTTAGCCATTCATTACAGCTCCATTTATACCTAAACTTTTCTGAACCAGTTTTATCTTTTCATCATGTTCTGCCTCAGAGAATATTGAGTCCCTAAGTGCCACTCACTGGCTGTATTACAGCCTCAATTGTCTGAAAATTATTTCTTTTAAGCTTTGAGGACTTTGCCTTATTTAGTTCTCATGTTCTGGGGACGTCTTTGATCTACAAGTACTTGACTCTTCAGATCTATAGCCTGACCTATAGAGGTGCAGATTAAACAAAGAAGTGGAATTAACTACTGGGGAAAAGTTTTCTTGGAGTTCTGTTTGAGTGAAGTATGTGGATTTGGGGGGGCTGTTCCCAGTGTGCCTGTTCTCCGCCTGTCCCCCAACCCCGTACACTTAGACAGTCTTCTTACTTTCCCCTCTACCCACTTTCTGCTGTGTGTGTCCAGGGGGAGCAGTGCCATCCAGCCTGGAGGAGAACCTGTGTCGGATCTGCATGGACTCGCCCATCGACTGTGTTCTGCTGGAGTGCGGCCACATGGTCACCTGTACCAAGTGTGGCAAGCGCATGAACGAGTGTCCCATCTGCCGGCAGTACGTGATCCGAGCCGTGCACGTATTCCGGTCCTGAGGGCTTGTACCAGCTTCTTCAGTGCCTTACAGGGACATAGCTCGAGGTGTCTGGGCCCACAGTTGGCCAGCTTGCAGGGGGGCAGCCTAACAAGAAAATCTGCAGTGTTCCCAAGAGCAGGGCAAGCAAGATGCTGTGTCACCTGTGGGCATGCACAGATCACACAGGCAAGTCCCTATTTCAGCGATCTTGGGGTGATGATGGTAACTGATGAAGAGAGGACTTTCTGGAATTTGGACCGTATCTTCCTCCCTTCCTCTGAGAACCTAAACAGTTTCACCCTTCCTCCTGTAGCTCACCCATCCCCCTGAGCTGCGTGCCTCTGTTCCACCCATCGGAAGTCCTGGTAGAAATGGCTCTCTTCTTCCCCAGCACATCTGGATTAATTTCTGGTCCCTCTGGCTTTCTGTGCTTTAACCGACCTTTGCTAAAGTCTCTTGCTACATTACCTAAAATCCATGTGTTTCTTCAGACCAAAAAGATGTTAGCTTCCCAGACCAATAGTGATCCTCCTTAGGACAGAATTTGGCCCAGTAAACTCATTTCTGGCGAGAAATGAAACACAAATGCTATTGAAAAAATTTGAAGTCATTAAAAGTTGCTTCCTTAAGTGCTGGGATTGGAAGCTATCAGTCTCTTGACCTGACCTTGGCAGTCAACAAAGCATCTGGCTTTCAAACTGCTGGGAAATTCCAGTCTGTGTGCGAGATGGTGCATGGATCATCTCTGCTGCTTCTCTTGGGGCCTGACTTTGTGCCACCCTTAATTTTAGTTTATGAGAAAAGGGAAAGCGTTGGGTGGCTTTCTGCTTGGCTTTGCCTTCTCCAACAGCCAGCCTTAAACCACTTTCCCCTGAGCATGAGGTCCCTCTTTCCCATGGAGGTTTTAAACACGGTCTCACCGAAGGCACAGAGACTTAGGCAGAGAGCCTCATGTTTCTCTAGCCAGACTTCTCATAAAGCTCCCGGAGACTGAGCATGTAAGACAGAGCACCTAAGAGGTATCAGAAGGTACTGAACGACACTGGATTCAGCCCTTGAGCAGCTAGCTAGAAGTCTTAGTTCCCCAGGTTGGTGGGGACTCCCTACTCCCATTTCCTTTCTCAGCCTGCTGATTTAGGGGCAGGTCAGGAAGAAGCATTCTCTAGGCCCTTTAGGAAGGGCCGTGCAATGAACAGGTGATGTTCTCGAGCCCTCTTAGTGTCTTCTCACCACTAGAAGAGCTTAAGTTTGCCGGAGAAGCTAACGTACATACGGTGTCCTTTCAGAAGAGCGGTGTGTGCTGCCGTCACTACTGGGCGAGCTATGCAAACCCTTGAACACCGGAAGGCCTTGGCAGTCCCCCCACCCCCACCCCATGCAGCCAAGATCTCTGACTAGAAGAACCAGTCATGACTTTGAAAGCAGTGGGAAACCTCTAAGAGGACCTGTTTATTGGTACAGACATGTTTAATGCTTTCTGTCAACCACTAATCTCTTTTGGGGGAGTGAAATAATTTTAAAGTGGTTGTCAGCTGAACACTGGACCACTTACCTTGACATTATACCAAGTCCTGGGTGATTTGATTCTGAGCTACAGCCTTTGTAGGAACTGGGGGAGTCAAATTTCCCTATAAAGACATCGTCTTTCACCTTTCTGCTGGACAGTAAATACTACAGTTTACAGTGCCTACCAGTTTAACAAAGGATTCAGCTACTCCTCAATTCCACTGTGAAACAGGTCTACATATATGCAGCTCAGTTACAACCTAGCAATAACTTCAGGGCAGAAGCTGGCTGTCTCCCTACTTAAAACTTGCTTTCTCTGCTGAGGCCTTACCTCTCCCTACCTCCCAACTTCCCTCTTAGACATGAGTTAATAATATCCTGATGGTTGGTCTATAACCTCAGTAAGAATTAGAACTGATGTCATTTACTCATTTTGGAGAAAGAACTTGCCTTGAAGTCTTCTAACCTCTTTTGGCGGTTTCCCTTTAGGAAAAAAAGGTGGCAAACACCTCCCCCCACTTTTTTTTGTATCTTCTTTATTCCTACACCAAGTAAAAGTTGGGAATTCTAAGATCCCATTTCAGTTACTATCTAACCTAGGGAGAAAACTTGACTTTTATCCTTGAATATTCTCTCCTGCTCCTTGGTCTTAATTATCATGGAAACATCTAATTCTTCCATTATTCCATGGCTTTTGCTGTGACTGTTCTGAGGTTTCAGTTGAGACTTGTTTTAAAAGACATGGACAGCTGACTGGTTCATAATACATTGGAATAGCTGGATCCAAACTAGTAAGAATAAGCTGTACAGGAATTAGCGCTCAATATAAAATGTATAAATTTGTTGAAATCTTTTGGATGTGAATGTGTTATTTCAAGTGGCTTATGTTAAGATTTTCTCAGACTTACTTGGGTGTTAAGAGCAAACCCAAATGTGTATTTTTTGTTATATGGAGCTCTGCTTTATAACTTTGTAATAAAGTTTCAATATAGATGCCTGTCTGATCTGGTGTGAGGATACCAGAGGTCTGACAGTTAAGACTTGACAAACCACAGGCTAATCCCAGGCACACAGGCATGCTCTTGAGAGACTGCATTATTTTTGGAGATGCGTAGGCCATGTGGCCTTGGTCATGGAAGAGCCTAGAAGAGGATGGGACCTGGGTAGGGAAAAGGACCAATCCTAAGTCCAAATAGGAAAAAGCATCAAGTGAGTTCAGACATGGGACACTGATTTGGTAGAGGCAGACCTTAAAGATGTGGGTAGAAAGGAATCTAAGGACAGCCAGGGTGCCTAGTTAAGTCTTCAGGTGACCCTGGGAGATGGACAGTAGCTTGTGGATACAGCTGTGGTGGCTGGAGTGTGGCTCAGAGGTTGGCCCAGCCTCGAGGGCAGAGTGCCCTGTGCAGGTCTGTACGCCTGCCTGACCAGGTGCCCAGGGGAGGGGACCCCTGAGTAGGCAGCCTTTGGGAGAGCTGGATTAGTGCAGATCTGCCCTGTGACTGAGGAAAGAAGAAATCTTGCCAAAAGGGCATAAAGGCTCGAGGCTGAGCCACAGCACTTTGTCCTCATTGTTCTGGGCAGCTGACCTGTTCAGCACCCTGGATGACCTCTTGTCTGCTGCCAACCAGCAGCAAGTGAACAAAGGCTCAGAGGAGGGCAGGCCTCCAGCACTCTGCTGGGGAGGTCTAATATGATGTTGTTTACGTCTATGGAAATACATGGATACAAAATCACATCTAATGTCAGCAGCAAAGAAAAATTGTGTCAGAAAGACTGGAAGGAAATAAACACCTTGTACAGTGAACTGAAGACAACACACCCAGCGAGGCAGGGAGGGGCTGAGGGGCTGAGCTCATGACTGAGACTCCCCCCTCTGCTGTGCGGCACACCCTGAGTGAGAGACCAGCCAGGCAAAAGGGCAGCGTCTGTGTCCGTTGGCAAAATCCTGAGGGGAGAGCCCTGTTCTGCTGCTCTGTCCAGTTGCTTGGCCTAAGGAGGCTGGAGACAGGATGAAAATTTATGTAGGTCAGTGCTTAGAGGAGCAGCTTTTGTTTCCACAGAGGACAGAATAAAAAGTGTCGTCTTCTCAACAGTGAAGCCAGACTGAATGGTGCCTATTCAGAAACACCAAACGTCCTGGCCTAGAGTCAGGGCACCACCCCCTCCTGCCCTTCCAACACATTTTCAGCAGCAGCTGGAAATCCTGGTCAATCAGGTTGGAATTGGCCTCCCAGCAGAGTGTGACCTCAGCTGAGCACACTGGAGGAGGGCTGGGGCAAGGTGGTGGCCCAGACTCAGACTCATGCTCGGGTATGCTCCAGAGACTGAGTCACATTAGCCTCACTCACAGGGGCTGGACAAACAAGCCTGCCAATCTGTTGATAAGAAAAAACAGAATGGACCCTCAGAAGTCAGCAGAACTAGTTGGAAGTCAGTTTAAAACCAGATGGTGACATGATGAGCCTGCACTCAGACCAGAGTGGGCTGTACCGCACAGGTGCAAGGCTGTGGAGGTGGTCTGACAGGGTTCTGAAGTCAGAGGCCAGGCCCCAGTCTCCTGGGCAGGGTCTGGACATGCACACCAGTGCTGATCTTCCCAACTCTAGATCACTACGTGCCAGGCTCTGTGCTAAGTGCTTTACCTAAGGCCTCCTGAGGTCACCTACTCTTCACAGCAACCCTGTGATTTAGGTGCAGTTCCTGTCCCCATTCCTGGAGGGTTAGGGCTGTTAAGTTTCAGGGCTTGATTCAAACTATGTCTACACCTGCACTGCCCAAGGTGGTAGTCACTAGCACTAGCCTCACGTTGACTACTTGAACGAAAATGAAAAGTTCACTTCCTCAGTTTTGTTAGCACATTTCACATGCTCAGAATATGGCTGGTTCATGTTGGCCAGTGGAGATTTACAGCGTGCTTCCAATGCCATAAAAAGTTCTATTGAACTGCACTCGTCCATGCTAAATTGTTTTCCTTTTATTCAAATAAATCAGCCTCAGGCGGTGCAGGAGCCATTCTTTCTAAGCAGGCTGTGTAGATTTGTCCTCAGGTGGGCTTTTAAAGAGCAGTCTTTTTTTTTTTTTTTTCAGTACGCAAGCCTCTCACTGTCATGGCCTATCCCATTGCAGAGCACAGGTTCCAGA